ACTACTACTACTACTACTACTACTACTACTACTACTACTACTACTACTACTACTACTACTACTACTACTACTACTACTACTACTACTACTACTACTACTACTACTACTACTACTACTACTACTACTACTACTACTACTACTACTACTACTACTACTACTACTACTACTACTACTACTACTACTACTACTACTACTACTACTACTACTACTACTACTACTACTACTACTACTACTACTACTACTACTACTACTACTACTACTACTACTACTACTACTACTACTACTACTACTACTACTACTACTACTACTACTACTACTACTACTACTACTACTACTACTACTACTACTACTACTACTACTACTACTACTACTACTACTACTACTACTACTACTACTACTACTACTACTACTACTACTACTACTACTACTACTACTACTACTACTACTACTACTACTACTACTACTACTACTACTACTACTACTACTACTACTACTACTACTACTACTACTACTACTACTACTACTACTACTACTACTACTACTACTACTACTACTACTACTACTACTACTACTACTACTACTACTACTACTACTACTACTACTACTACTACTACTACTACTACTACTACTACTACTACTACTACTACTACTACTACTACTACTACTACTACTACTACTACTACTACTACTACTACTACTACTACTACTACTACTACTACTACTACTACTACTACTACTACTACTACTACTACTACTACTACTACTACTACTACTACTACTACTACTACTACTACTACTACTACTACTACTACTACTACTACTACTACTACTACTACTACTACTACTACTACTACTACTACTACTACTACTACTACTACTACTACTACTACTACTACTACTACTACTACTACTACTACTACTACTACTACTACTACTACTACTACTACTACTACTACTACTACTACTACTACTACTACTACTACTACTACTACTACTACTACTACTACTACTACTACTACTACTACTACTACTACTACTACTACTACTACTACTACTACTACTACTACTACTACTACTACTACTACTACTACTACTACTACTACTACTACTACTACTACTACTACTACTACTACTACTACTACTACTACTACTACTACTACTACTACTACTACTACTACTACTACTACTACTACTACTACTACTACTACTACTACTACTACTACTACTACTACTACTACTACTACTACTACTACTACTACTACTACTACTACTACTACTACTACTACTACTACTACTACTACTACTACTACTACTACTACTACTACTACTACTACTACTACTACTACTACTACTACTACTACTACTACTACTACTACTACTACTACTACTACTACTACTACTACTACTACTACTACTACTACTACTACTACTACTACTACTACTACTACTACTACTACTACTACTACTACTACTACTACTACTACTACTACTACTACTACTACTACTACTACTACTACTACTACTACTACTACTACTACTACTACTACTACTACTACTACTACTACTACTACTACTACTACTACTACTACTACTACTACTACTACTACTACTACTACTACTACTACTACTACTACTACTACTACTACTACTACTACTACTACTACTACTACTACTACTACTACTACTACTACTACTACTACTACTACTACTATACTACTACTACTACTACTACTACTACTACTACTACTACTACTACTACTACTACTACTACTACTACTACTACTACTACTACTACTACTACTACTACTACTACTACTACTACTACTACTACTACTACTACTACTACTACTACTACTACTACTACTACTACTACTACTACTACTACTACTACTACTACTACTACTACTACTACTACTACTACTACTACTACTACTACTACTACTACTACTACTACTACTACTACTACTACTACTACTACTACTACTACTACTACTACTACTACTACTACTACTACTACTACTACTACTACTACTACTACTACTACTACTACTACTACTACTACTACTACTACTACTACTACTACTACTACTACTACTACTACTACTACTACTACTACTACTACTACTACTACTACTACTACTACTACTACTACTACTACTACTACTACTACTACTACTACTACTACTACTACTACTACTACTACTACTACTACTACTACTACTACTACTACTACTACTACTACTACTACTACTACTACTACTACTACTACTACTACTACTACTACTACTACTACTACTACTACTACTACTACTACTACTACTACTACTACTACTACTACTACTACTACTACTACTACTACTACTACTACTACTACTACTACTACTACTACTACTACTACTACTACTACTACTACTACTACTACTACTACTACTACTACTACTACTACTACTACTACTACTACTACTACTACTACTACTACTACTACTACTACTACTACTACTACTACTACTACTACTACTACTACTACTACTACTACTACTACTACTACTACTACTACTACTACTACTACTACTACTACTACTACTACTACTACTACTACTACTACTACTACTACTACTACTACTACTACTACTACTACTACTACTACTACTACTACTACTACTACTACTACTACTACTACTACTACTACTACTACTACTACTACTACTACTACTACTACTACTACTACTACTACTACTACTACTACTACTACTACTACTACTACTACTACTACTACTACTACTACTACTACTACTACTACTACTACTACTACTACTACTACTACTACTACTACTACTACTACTACTACTACTACTACTACTACTACTACTACTACTACTACTACTACTACTACTACTACTACTACTACTACTACTACTACTACTACTACTACTACTACTACTACTACTACTACTACTACTACTACTACTACTACTACTACTACTACTACTACTACTACTACTACTACTACTACTACTACTACTACTACTACTACTACTACTACTACTACTACTACTACTACTACTACTACTACTACTACTACTACTACTACTACTACTACTACTACTACTACTACTACTACTACTACTACTACTACTACTACTACTACTACTACTACTACTACTACTACTACTACTACTACTACTACTACTACTACTACTACTACTACTACTACTACTACTACTACTACTACTACTACTACTACTACTACTACTACTACTACTACTACTACTACTACTACTACTACTACTACTACTACTACTACTACTACAACCCTTTTTTCAGGCTTTACTTTAATTGGCATAGATTTATACATAAACATTTTTAGTCTATTGAATTGAATTTTTGATTTTCCCGTCGATTGATTGGACCGAAGTGCTCGGTCTTAGGTTGACATGTCGGCTTCTTAGGCAGATGCCTCGACGATATCTGGGCATTTAATTAGTATACAATTGGTTGATGGTGGCTAGCTGTGGAATCCAGGATAACGCGCATTTCGTCCTATTTGGGACTCATCAGCTGGATGTACCTGCATTCCTCAGTGTGTGATGATGTTCACATTGAGGCTACTATCCACCAATTGTATACTAATTAAATACCCAGACATCGTCGAGGCATCTGCCTAAGAAGCCGACATGTCAACCTAAGACCGAGCACTTCGGTCCAATCAATCGACGGGAAAATCAAAAATTCAATTCAATAATTAATATGACCCGTCGCACAAGTGGTGGCTCTCGTGGCCCAAGTGGTCTAGTGGATAACGCTTTGGCGTTTGAAACTATTGGCCCTGAGTTCGAGCCTCAGTGGGAACATCATCACTCACTGAGAAATGCACGTACATCCAGCCGACGAGTCCCAAATAGGACGAAATACGCATCCTGCATTCCACCGCTAGCCACCATCCACCAATTGTATACAAATTTTTAATCTATGATGGTGATTTTGTGGATCAAATAATAATAATGTGGTAAATTTTTTGAGCGTAGTTAAATAATGATGATTATAATGATAACAAAATATTGATGATAAGTTTTATGCAGGTGGCGATAAGAATAACGAGGGTAGTAAGTATTATGTATATCTGTAGGCAATTCAACACATAAATTAGGTCAAATCCTAAAAGTTACGTAATACTAAAGGTGGGTGAAGTGGACAGATATAATCAGAGTTCAAATAGACAAATATCATAAAAGTACGAAGCAGATGGAAAATAAGAGAGGGTGTGTGGGAGGGTTTTGAATAGGATTCGCCTAGGTTAAGCAAGGCAGAGAGAGACAAAGGTAGAACAAACTTCTTCCTTCGTCGTATGCAAAGATGCTAGGATTGTTCTCTCGAATTTCCATAGATTCTCCTATGTGTAAAAGACGAATCCGAATTCCATTCGACAGGTTCGATGGAAGGAGATAGATAATTTTGAAGGCGGCACTATTTTTGTCTACTTGTTGACCGTTATCATCAATCAAATGATCCAAAAAGAACTTCTTATGGATTTTATTTGACCTTTTCCAAATCATGAAGGAAGGAAGATGCTCATCAAAGCTTTTCTTAAGCTGTCTAGTTGTTTGTTCTAGACAGCCAGCTCTCTTCACACAGAAGCAACTAAATTTATAGATACACATAGAAGTGGCACAGCTAGCTAGGTAGCTTGTCTTTTACTTGATCAATCATAATTGGTCAGCTGGAAAATGAGAAACAAAGGGTGGCGGCAGTATAAGTCCGTCTTATCGTTCTCGATAATCTCAGAACGAAACGTTGGAATTAATCATTTCAATTTCGTTGAGATTTTACAAATATAACTTTATAAATGTCTACTTCTCACTCAGCGCTCAATTATTTTGCAACTATCCGGTCAAATCTTGATCACAGTTCATATGAATATATATATATATATTTTACCAAATACTGCTGAATACTGTTCATATGCTTCATTGATCTTTCTTTTTTTCCGAATAATTGTCAAGAGCAAACGTTATGCAATGAAGATGGCCAAGTTGAACAATTTACCTCTGATCAATGGGTAAGTCATTGAGAACATTGAACATGTCATATTACAAGAAAGACCCAAACAAAAAGAAATTGATTTTCAAGTCAATAAGTTGAATTATAACGCTTGCACAACTTCTGACTGATCAGGTGAATCCACGTGGAATAAATGAACCACATACACACACACACACACACTGACTACTGTACTAGCTCTATGACTGTCAACAATATATTTTATTTTCTATTTCCACATGATCTCCTTCCTGTATGTCAGTCAGTCAATCTTGGAAATGTCATTCACCTTCCACTCAAGGGTCTGGCACATGATTTCACTCTAATCTACGAATGTTGTGCATGCGATTCGCTGTCGCCAAATGTAAGATGATGTTACAGGACTGGCTGAACTACACTGACTCCTAGTTTAAAAATAGGGAGTGAACTGTTTGGTGGAGCGCGTTGACCTTCACCTTTACTTATTTGGGAAGCACCATCAGTCCGTGTCAACAGGTTGATCTCAGTATGGATACCGAGGGTTACTTTCGCATATGCCAGTTTACGCTGTCTCTGGCTTAGTGGACGTGATATCCGGCTGTCGAACAAAGGGCGGGTGTGCTGCTCAGCCAAGCAGTTCGCTCTGTCCTCCTTTATGCCTGACTGGCTGTGATACCTGGCCACTGAGAGTGGTAGACATGAAAAGATTAACTGTTTTCGATGATAGGTGCCTGCGTTCTATCTCCCGCGTGGCGTGGTATAATAAGGTGAGCAATATTGAGGTGACGCGTCGGCCGAGTGCTAAGTACGTGGAAGGGGAAATCAATCGACAATGAGGCTGTGAAATTACATCCATTGAGATGGTTAGGACATGTGTTATGCAAACACGCCTAGTCATCGCCTTTCTCGACTGACGGGAGATGTTAGCTGGCTGACATAGGATTGGTCAGGCTGAAAAAGAGCTAGCCAGCCGAGGTCAGACCAAAACATGGCTTCTTCACCAGTCAATGAAATCCACAACAGTTAGTTTAAGCCAACCAGCCAGCCAGCCACATAGGAAGGTGTAGGTTTACTTACTGACTCACTGGTTAGGATCTGCGGGATGGTAAAAACCAATGAAGGCTGGATTCAATTGGTGATATGGTTGGCTCAAAGTGATCGTTCTCAATGACTGGCTGGCTGGCTGGCTCAGATGCACCCACTCCTTGTGACTCATGATTTCCAATGAAACTATATTGTTGTTCGTTTGTTATTACTATTCCTTTGTTGTGTCACACCTGTGTTTACTGTCTCTCTATTATTCATTTTTTCTACTTTCCTCTCTTGCTTTGTGTGCTACAAGGAGTGGAGTGTGGCGACTTGAACTGGTGCACATTGGTGCAAAGTGGTTCTATGTCGAAAACAGACGGACAGACACAGTGGTTCAAGATGTCAAACTTTTGATTTATACATCAACGACATGACACAAAAGTAGAAAACAAAGTGAATATTGTGAAATGCGGGGTGAGATATAATAAGGTTTGATTTGTATCCAGCATACCTCTGACTCCTTCGGATAATACTTGTTAGCCAGTTTCTTGTGACAAACAGTGTTCTGACTTATATATCTTTTCTATCCAGTCTTTTCAGGATGATGCGGCTTAATATATGTATTGCTTGATGTGGAAAGGAGCATGATACTGTGCCACTTCTTGTATGGGCTTCATTCGCTCTCCTTTCTTGTCATTGTTTTACAAAGTATTCTTTCTTGCACCCTTTCAGACCAGCAGTAGTAGTATAAAAACAGAAGACAAAGTCCAGGAAACGGATCGTTTATTTATGAAATCAACACATATTTATAGATTTTCATGTACATTATTATTGTTGATTATTGTTAGAAGACAAACACAGTCTTCTGATTGGTAGTTTCATCTTTTTGTGGCTGTTGCTTGAAGGTCAGATCATCTATCGTCTATCTGGTAATTGTATCCACCTACGCGGAGAAAGTGTTCTGTGATTGGTTGTTGAGTCAGTCAGTCAGACTTTGTTCTTATTTTTCTCACGACCAATATTTGGGACAAAAACATTGACGTAGATTACTGTCTACCAACCTATGGCTGGCTAGCAGACAACTCACACCACAATAGTTCTTAAAACAGCCCATTAGATTGATGAAAGGAGAAGTGGTTCGATTTATTTTCATTTTCTCGCTCGTTGATGCACTCTACTGTGAACATATAATCTCTAACAAGTGACTTTAGTTAGAGCAAAGTTAGTTTGAAAAAGAGTGGTGATTTACGAATGATTGGATGTAAACAAGAGCTTGGAATGTCAGTCACCTCTCCATCTCACTCAACTTCATCGACTTTGAAAAGGCCTTCGATAACGCAGCATCGATCTAGAGGTGATTTGCCAACTACTTCGCTATTATCAAGGGGTCCCGCCGACAACTATAGATCTCATCTAACATTTGCACGACAGTGCTGCATGACAAGTAATCCACAACGGGAAACTTATGGAATCCTTTGAAGAAGTGAAGATGAGAGTAAGACAAGCTGACTACCTACTATCGCCAATGATTCTCCTGATTGTGGGAGGTAGATCGGTTAATGCGACAGACAACTGGCATGGCAGCGAGGAAACAGGCATAAAATGGACCCACACAATAAACTTGGAGGATCTGGACTTCGCCGATGTGGTGTATATATCTGATTTCTCACAAACTGGAAGATACGCAAGTGAAAAGCCACAAGTTGGCGGAAGAAGAAGCATCCACAGAAGATAGGACTTCCTTCAGGTGAACATAGAGGAAACAGATATAGGTGATGAAGATTCCGGGCCAACATCAACAGGAACAACAACAACAGACAACAAACAGCCAGCATAAATGGGAGGATTATGTAAGAAACATTCTCCTTCACCTACCTACTCATCTACCTGGGAAACATCGTTTCAACTGCAGGCAGACGGAACTGACGAGGATATCAAAGCAGCGAGGATCATCGAGAATGCAAGACAAGCTTTCATTACTCTCAAGTTTGTGTAGAGGAGGTCAACAGCACTACTCAGCATGAAAATGAAAATAAAATCCGGATTTTCAACTCCAATGTGAAGTCAGTCAGTGCTACTCACTATACGGATGGATCAGAGACTTGGCCAGCGCGTCACAAAGGGCCCTTTGAACAAACTACAGACCTTCATCAACAGCTAGTTGTCTTCGTTGAATACTCCTCAAGATCAGATGGCCAGCCAAACTAATCAGCAACAGTGTTGGATCTCTGGGAGCAATCCAACAAGCAAATAAGCAGGAAGAAATGGGGCTGGATTGGATTGGTCGTACTGTGAGAAAACAAATCATCAAGTGAGTGACATCACTAAACAAGCCATTGCTCTAGTGGAACCCGACCAAAAGGGCAGCGGCGAGTTGGTCGTCAGTGCAAGGGTGACATGAAGTGGAGGTGGTCATGTGAAGAGGACAAGCATGTGGGCAGACTCGGGTGAAAACTTCAGTAGAGAACCGAATGCAATGGAAACATGAGCGGCTGAAGCCCTATGTTCCTCTGGGAATTAAAAGAAATAATAATAATAATGGGCGTAAACAGCAACATGAGGTTAGTGATTGTTAGTTTGAGGTGCATAAGCAGGTGTAGTTTGACTGATCGCATTCCTTATGATACGATGATTTAATGATGATTGCAGACTGTTTGTGTGTGTGACACAGTTCAAAGCTGTTTTCATCATAACGACACCCACATATATACGAGCTTCTTGTCTGTTGTCATCCCGTAAATCCTGACAGCTTTTTACTTGTCTGTTTCAGTTCTTCTTCTGTTGATTTTGTGTACTTTTGTGGTGTGAGTTGTCTGCTAGCCAGCCATAGGTTGGTAGACAGTAATCTACGTCAATGTTTTTGTCCCAAATATTGGTCGTGAGAAAAATAAGAACAAAGTCTGACTGACTGACTCAACAACCAATCACAGAACACTTTCTCCGCGTAGGTGGATACAATTACCAGATAGACGATAGATGATCTGACCTTCAAGCAACAGCCACAAAAAGATGAAACTACCAATCAGAAGACTGTGTTTGTCTTCTAACAATAATCAACAATAATAATGTACATGAAAATCTATAAATATGTGTTGATTTCATAAATAAACGATCTGTTGACTGGCTGGCCTTGTCTTCTGTTGTTACACTTCCATGGCAATCCAGATTCCTCTTTATCACATAACACATACACAGACTTCAATTGATCCCTTGTATGTTGTTGTTGTGTTTTGTTTCCAGTTATGATCATCCACATATTTTGGCGGGTCAAGGAAGTGTTGGCATTGAAATCCTAGAACAGGTCCCTGATGTTGATGCTATCATAGTGCCAGTTGGTGGTGGTGGTCTGATTGCGGGGATATCTGTTGCAGCAAAAGCTATTCGACCGAACTGTATGATAATTGTGAGTTGATGTCAAAACTAAACACACGTTACAGAGTGTGTGTGTGTGTGTCTGTGTGTACAGATTCTTTTTTTTTTGATGGAACTGATGTCACTCCATTATGTTCAGATAAGATTTTATTTCGATAAACTGTGTAGTGTTTGTTATACAGTAAGTAACATTAACTGATGTGACCACACGCCATTTCGAGCACAATTAATTATTGTCACTCATAATCAAATGAATGAATTTATAGTCTCTACAGAATGCCGGCCAGCCAGGGCAGAAATAGGGCCTAGCTGAACTTGCTTCATTTGACCACAGAGCACTGGTTGTTTCACGCAAATCGTGATAGCCTGTGCTGTTTGGAGGAGCATTCGGTGCTTCGATGATGATTTTGGAAATTTATGTGGCACCTAACAAATAATGATAGAGAAGAATTATTCTACACTGGCTGGCTGGCTTCGTGGCCGGCCGGTTTGCACCAGATGGTCAAATATCGAACTGTTGATAATGGTTTTCACCACACCTTTACTCAGCCATACATGGAGATGTTCTCAAGCGAGCGAGCACGAAAAATCAAGTTCCTAGAGGAACAACGGCCGCTACAACTCGCTCGACCACAAGCACAGTTTCACTTGAATTGGTAGATAAAATTGGAAGTGGCTAGCTAATCTAGGTACTTCATCCTTCAGTCAAGGTAGCACCATGAGTTGTGTAGATAATAAGACGTGTAGTTCGCCGCCAGCATTGAAAGTTCTTTCAACTGATTTTCTTAATTTCGTCGTAATTATCTCACTTGGTATATCAATCATCCTTGAATTACAGTCGCGCATAAAGAGGCTTATTGTTAACAGATAATGAGTGAGTAGTCCTTTTTCCGCCGTTTTCTTTGTCATGTCTATCTTGATGAATTTATCGGGATAGCTATTTTCGATCGATAAAAGTATCACATACAATGCTTAATTTATCTTTAAATACTTCTTCTTGGCATATCGGTCTAACTATTCCTGCGGGTCAGTTAGGGTCTCCACTAAATTTCTTTTGTAGTTGAGAGAGGAATGAGGCTGTGAAAATGTGTTTAACGATGTCCTGCGGTCCAAGTACTTTTTCTATGCTAAAAATTTCTTTTTGTTATGCTACCATCTGGTTTTCTTGTAAGGAGGACGTGCATCCAGGAAGCCACAGTGGTTAGGACTCTCGCCGAGCATGCACATGGTCCGAGGTTCGATCCCCTGCCGACGCATACCTGATACCTATGGTCAGCTTGTGATATTTGGGCTACCGATATCCATGCTGAAAATTCCATACTTGTACCAAAAATATACAGTGTGGAATCAAGGTGTCATCAAAAATAAATAAAAAATTCATTCTTCTTTCTTCGCATGTGAATTTCATAGTGGAGAATGTACTTCATTGAATTCAGTAATTATTATATTCCTCTATCCAAATTATGATATCATAAAGAATGAAGGTGTTATCCATATACCGGGAATAAAATGAGAACTTACTGATAAGTTGGTTGTTCAGTGGTCAATTTTCTAGCTTACTTAGAATGAAATCAGCCAAAATGGGACCCATTAGGGAGCCCAATAGTTCGCCTATATTATAAATTTTTTTTATTCACAAGTTTGGAGGAGTATGTTTTTGGTGATGTGTGATATACCCCTATTGGAATATAGATAGATCCACTCCGTTTACTGTGACTAATAATGTGCAGTTAAATACTTAAGATTACTTTAGTTACCCCAGCTACCCCCTTTAATGTTTCCCTAAGATATTTTATTTACTCTTACTATACAATGTGTTTATGTCGACATTTTAGGCTGTGGAATCAGAAAATTGTCCAGGTTTCAATCAAGCAATGCTTGCAGGAAAACCAGTTTATACAGAAAATTTTCCATCCTGTGCAGATGGTAAGGTACCGCTGTATTTTCCTATAAAATTCTGACCTATTTAACTTATCATATAACGTCGCAATCAATCTGCTTTATTTGGTATCATGAAAGATTCTGAATTAATATGGAAGATTAGTAGCTCAGGTGGATGATTTGCTATTAATTAATACTGTTCTCCGAGGAGCTGGTTGGTTTAGTTGAGGAGCTTTCGTCACCCCCATGCCCTACTGGATAACATTCCTCTTCAGCGCAATTCTCTGCGTAAAACAGACTGATTTAAATTTCTTCATGAGTGGTGATAGAATTGCGTGTGTCTCCCGGTAACCATTTTTACATATGTATTGATCATTTTCTATTGACTTGGATTTCAAACTCTCTCGTCACACGATCTACTTTTTATTATTAGTTGGTATATATGGTCTATCTATATATTAAAGTGTTTGTTAATCACTGCCTGATTCGTTTGAGTGAGTGGCAGACTTCTAGGAATTCCCTGACTACACTTTTGGTGGTGTTTCCTCTGTCTAAACTTTTGACATTATCCCAGTTGTCAAACTAATGTCCATAATTATCTATAAGTCTTGATTGATATGAAACAGGAATATATATCATGTCTTTTCACAGCTGATTTGTGTTCCTTGATTCCGATTCGAAGGGGACACCAATGGGATCATCACCTATATCAACTATATGTTCGTCGGTGGCACAGTGGTTAGGGCTCTCGCCGACCATGCACATGGTCCGAGGTTCGATCCCCTGACGACGCACACCTGATATCTATGGTCGGCCTGCAAACTATGGGCTACCGATATCTACGCTGAAAATTCCATACTTGTACCAAACATACAGTGTGGAATCAAGCTGTAATCAAAAATTAAATAAAATATCAAGTTTAATAGCTGAAGCCATCATGCAACAATTAGATTTAATACCTCTACCTATAGTTGAACCAAAACTCCGGACAGGTACGTTACGTTGATGATACATTTGTAATAAATAAAAGAAATGTGATTTAGAATATACCCATAACTCAATAAACAACATATTTGAAGGCATCAAATTCACCACGAGAGAAGAAGAATTAAATAACAAAATCACATTTTTAGATGTCTTAATCAGGAGAACCAACACAGGAAATTTACAAACATAAGGTTATAGAAAATCAACGCACACACACAGATCAAATAGTCAGCTATACTAGCAATAGTCCAATTACTCACTCACAAAAGAAACTGTGTGGAGACATTGTTCACAAAAGAATTCAAACACACTGTAGCACTACTTGGGTGTTGAAAAGAATGGAAGAAAAATACTAACAAACGGTCTTCAAGAAGAAAGGTTATCCAAAAAATTTCATCAAAAGTGTTTAAAGTCGAATCACAACACCACACAAGGAACCATCATCAAAGAACACAAGAAAATTCACCCTAACATATATTAAAAACACCTCTGAAATAATTATAATAATAATGTTTCTTTCACGTTCCCAGTGGAACATAGGGCATCAAGCTAGTGGATTGAAGTTTCTAGCAGTGTATATTTTTACAGGAAACGGTTATTAGCCTAATTCCCAACCTTTCCTCTTTACCAGTATTGTTTCTTTCTCAGTGAGGTGAAGGAGTGCGTCGGTGGCCGGGGATCGAACCCCGGAGAATGTGCATGGTTAACGAGCATCCTAACCGCTGTGCCACTGACGCACATCTCTTAAATAACACATAGAATATTGTAACCATTTGAAATAGATATAGCACACAAGCTAGCTAGTTGAATCACTTCGTTCGATATTGTGCAAATCGAAAGAATCATCCAACAGAAAAAGGAGATAAAATTAATACCATTTACTCCATGAGATGGAGTTCTATCACTCATGAAAAATTTTCAATCACTTCACTTTACGCTAAAAATTTTGCTGAAGGGGAATGTTGTCCAGTAGGTGGATTACGTTGAAAGCTCCGCAACCAAAACCAACCAGCTCCCCGGAAAACACTATTAATTACAAATCTTGAATGATTCGATTAACAGGTAGTCTATATTGCAAAAAATATGCATAAATACAATCGATAAATAACTGCATTCCACTTCTTTTGATGGAGAACATAGAGTCTAGATAAAATGCTTCACTTCAAAATAGAAAATTTCAGTGGTTTTTGTTACCTTGTCAAATCACCATTCACAAGTTAAGGAGCCTAATATAAAATGGCTATAATAGAAAAGATTTGTAACTCAGGTGGATGATTTGCAATTAATAGTGATCTCTGAGCTGGTTGGTTTAGTTGCGGAGCTTTCGTCTTCTTTCTGGACGGCATCTTCAGCGCAGTATTTAGCATAAAGTGAAATGATTTAAAAAAATCTCCATGAATGATGATACAATTGCGTCTCCTGGTGACCAACCATCTTCACATATGTGTGTATTGACCGTTTTCTATTGTGATTGGGATTTTAAACTTTCTGGTCACCTGATTTTTGCTTTTTATTAGTTGATATATTTCATCTATATTAACGTGTTTATTAATGGCATTTTCGTTTGAGTACCGGGCTTCTAGGAATTCCCTGACTGCACATTTGGTGTTGTGTTTCCTCTGTTTAAGATTTTGATATTATCCCAATCAAATTGATGTCCACAATTGTCTGTATGCATTGATACTAAAGAATTTATACCATGTCTTTTCACGGCTGACTCGTGTTCCTGGATTCTTATTCGAAGGGGACGCCCACTTTGGGCGATGTAATGTTTGTTACAGTTCATACATCCAATTTATTTTGTAAATGGTGTTAATTTTATCTCCTTTTTCTATCGGATCTTTTGGCTTGCATAAGATCAAATTAAGCGATTCGGCTGGCTGGTTTGTGTGCTACATCTATATCAAACGGTTTCATTATTCTAGCCGTTATTTCAGAGATGTTTCTGATGCACGGTAGGATGAATTTCTTTTTGGTCTTTGGTGATGGTTCTTTGTTGGTGATTTGATTCGAATTTAAACACTTTTTTGGTGAAATTTTGTGAGGATATCCATTCTTTTTGAAGACCTTCAGTAGGTATTTTTCTCGCATTCTTTTCAACACCCAAGTAGTGCTACAGTGTGTTTGAATTCTTTTGTGAACAATGTCTCCACACAGTTTCTTTTGTGAGTGAGTAATTGGACTATTGCTAGTATAGCTGACTATTTGATCTGTGTGTGTGCGTTGATTTTCTATAACCTTATGTTTGTAAATTTCCTGTGTTGGTTCTCCTGATTAAGACATCTAAAAATGTGATTTTGTTATTTAATTCTTCTTCTCTCGTGGTGAATTTGATGCCTTCAATTATGTTGTTTATTGAGTTATGGGTATATTCTAAATCACATTTCTTTTATTTATTACAAATGTATCATCAACGTAACGTACCTGTCCAGAGTTTTGGTTTAACTATAGGTAGAGGTATTAATTCTAAAGACGCAATTGTATCATCATTCATGGAGATTTTTTAAAATCATTTCACTTTATGCTAAATACTGCGCTGAAGATACCGTCCAGAAAGAAGACGAAAGCTTCGCAACTAAACCAACCAGCTCAGAGATCACTAATAATTGCAAATAAATTGGCTATATAAAACAAAGTCGGTTTTCGTTCGAGTTAGTGTCTCTGTTACACACACACACATTCATCTCTTTCTAATGCTGTAAGGGTTCGCTTTTTTTTTTGTATTAGGTAGGTTCATTTCTGTACCTTTATTGTGTTTCTCTGTGAAAAGTTATTATAATATTACAATTAGTCTGTTGTAGGGTTTCCCCAGTGGAACATGGGGCTCCGACAGCACATTTCCACTTCAGCGTGTTGTTTGTTTACAGTCCTCGTTAACTGGCGCCATCATTGCTCATAAGATCTTATCTCACACCAGTCAACTCACCGTTCCCCCAATTCAGGTTCACCTCTAGGGCCTGGCACACGATTTCACACGGCGTATTTATTGGACAGTGAGCGGGTTGTTAGTAGGTTCGTTGCCAGAGCTGTCTATATTTCTAATCCTTCCTGGCTTGTTACCTGATCTTCAGCATCACGCGAGGTAGTTTCTAATGAAAGTATGAAGCCAAGTCTCCGAAATATATGTACAGAAGAGCTGAGTTGTCATTAATATTCTTTAAGTGTAGTACTGAAATTGCTTCTACACTACGGAGTACCCCAATTGGAAATTACACCTAAATATTCTTACAAGTATAAAACTTGAGCGCTGTGGTGGTAGAGTATAACTACTCCATCATTATGGATAAGATTTTATTTTGCATAAATTGTCACACAGTGCAGTCTAGTGTTTGTTATACAGTAAGTAATATTAACTGATACGACCACACGCCATTTCGAGCACAATTTATTATTATTCCCACTCATAATCATCACATCAAGTCACTCACTCACACAACTTTCTTGTTTCCTTCATTTATATACACATGAGTGGAATTGATGATTAGACATTTGAATACAAATCAACCAATATGGGATAATGTACATTCAGAAATAATAATAATATGATTGTTATGATTGATCAATTACAACAATCAAATGGGAAATAAGACGAGTGTTTTATTTATAGTCAAAATAAGTGAGTAACTTGTTAGAATGTTGTGATGATGTATGTGAATTAAATTGAAATAGAATACAATTTAAGATTATTTATTATCCTCCTCTGATTTCACTGACTGACTGACTGTATATTTATGGTATTTGCATTGAGTCATTTCTGTTGCATGTGTTGTGTTGTGTGTAGACTCGATGAACCAGCCAGGATTCAGTAATCAGCTTATCTCTTTTTCCCTCTATATAGATCACTTCTAAGAATGTTAACCCTCTCCCGCCCACCAAGCTATTGTGTGGTTGTGTGTTGATGCATGCAGTGCAGTGTAGTGGTGAGCTGTTTTCTAAATTACTTATGTTCTCGGGTGGCGTCAACCATTCTAACCTTAGCTAAATTCTTATGTTCCGAAAATCTGACTACCCCTGACCTACTACTCTATTTCACTTATGTAGTTGACTTAACTTACAGTCATTGCAAGGTATTTTGTAAATTATATTATTTGGTTTAATTGGGTCCACCGGGTCTTTTAGCCTACAGAGCCTGTCCTAACTGAGTGAGTTTGTAGGTTTGAATGCCACCATGAGCCTAAATCCTGCTTTGTTATTAAGAATACTACGTAGGGGTGTCTCAGGTGTCCACTTCTTATGTAGTATAAGAGTAGATGACATATATATTCCCTCTTATTTATGTTATCATTATTATTTTCACAATTATTTTTCAATTTTGCTTTTCGCTTTTTCGCAACTTCCTATTGGATTTTATAGGACAGTTAGTGATTTGATACCAACGCTTCTTCCTCTTCTATCTGTTTTATTTCATCATTTAGGTGTTTTCTTGTGCTACTTAGTGCTACTGCTCGGTTTGTTAGACACTTCACTAAGCCTGCCATTACAGTTAAAGGATGGGGTGAATTAGATTCTGAAATATCTAATAGAATAATTAAACAACTCATTCTGATCATAAATTCCACTCATGTATATAAATGCAGGGGAGAAGTTGTGTGAGTGAGTTGATATGATTATGAGTGGGAATAATAATAAATTGTGCTCAAAATGGCGTGTGTGGTCGCATCAGTGAATATTACTTACTGTATAACAAACACTACACTGCACTGTGTGACAATTTATGCAAAATAAAATCTTATCCATAATGATGGAGTAGTTATACTCTACCACACCACAGTGCTCAAGTTTTATCCTTATATTAGGTAGAATTTTCGTTTCTAATCATAAATTAACTAAGAAGAGAAGTTGTCGAATAAGCATGAATGACTTTCATTTGCAGGATACCTTTCACCTGAGACGCATTCACTACTACTACTACTACTATGAATGTCTAACACACACACACCTACCTGAAAATCACCTTCGCTATTAAGAATGTATACAGAGTATATCATTCAAGATGTTCCTCAGCGAAAATGTGTAAATCAGCACCACAAAATCGAATATTAGTAATAATCTCCTATGGAGGCGATAAGTTACATTTAGCATCAATGGCATTCTTAATTATAAAATTCCTACTTTGGTACAGAAAATTTATGAGTATTGGCAATTTATTTTAATTAATTTTATGCCTAAATGGCTTCATGGAAACTTATGGAAAATTCCCATTGTAACATCATATAGAAAATCTAAGCAAGTGATCCATTCAGCGAAGAGACTCTTTTCAACAGACGAATTTATCATCAAACTGTACAATCGTATATGTGTATGGTTTTTCCAAGAAGTCATATCCATTGAGGGAATTGAATCACACACACGTCTGAGTGAATGCATAAAATAATAGTAATAATAATAGTATGAAATTCAATTAAAATATTTGTGATTATAATCATCGTTAAGCGTCAAATGGCAAAACAATTAAATGACATATATAGGATAATTCATAGGATGGATAGAACTTGGAAGGGGTGTGCATTTATAGGATTAGTAGATCAATCGAATAAAATAAAAACGTTATGTAATATTGTGTGAAATTTGATAGCATTTATTTTATTTTTTTTAATTTTTTTAAATTTTTGATTAAAGCTTGATTCCACACTGTATTTTTGGTACAGGTATGGAATTTTCAGCATGGATATCGGTAGCCCAAATTTTGCAGGCCGACCATAGATATCAGGTGTGCGTCGGCGTGGGCTCGGACCCAGGACCATGTGCATGGTCGGCGAGTGTCCTAACCACTGTGCCACCGACGCACATAGAATTTAACGTTGCAAAAAAGAAGAATTGGTTTAGAATGATAAGTGGAACAAGTGAAATAATACCGGGGACAGTTCAAAGTGAGAATAGTAATAGTAGTAACAATTGACATTGTAATAAAGGAAGAGTATGTAAATTGAATAGACAAAAATGAAAAAAATGAAAAATTGGTGGAGCCAAAATATAATTGGGGATAACCATACTTTAGCATAGAGGGAGGGATTCAGACCATGAAAAGTTTAGGGGTTGAACGAAATAACGAAAGTCGTGACCAGTAGGGTGCAGTAGGTCGGATGTGAGCAAAAATACTTGCCAAAGACATTGGCTAAGGGTTGAGCTATGTCGTGAATTGGCAGAAGTTTGAATTCATGTACTGCCTGGTCATTGGATCGTGTCCCAGTGGCTGCTTTATGGTCTATCAGCTCGCTAGCCTTGTAACCAGAAGGTCCTGGGTGCGTGCTGCCGGAGAGTCCCAAACTAGGCTGAAGAAACAGCTGTCCAGTACTCCCTGGTTGGTTTTCCAATGGTTCTCTAACCAATGTCAGCTCGTGATGAAATCCTGTAGCCAATCAACCAAATCTCTACTAATCAACACTGAACATTTTTCTGTATTCAGAGATCTGGTTTTTCTGTTTCGATAGCCAAAGATGGCTTCAGCAATACAGATGACATTAATTTATTCAGCCACTTGACAGTTATACCATATAAAGAGGGGACATCTGAAACCCTACGTAGGATTCTAAATAAAGCAGGAATAAGGGTGCCATTTAAGCCTACAAACTCACTCAGAGACAAGCTGTGTAGGTTAAAGGACCCAGTTGAACCAATTAGACAAAATAAGATAATTTACAAAATACCATGCAATGATTGTGAGTTAGGTCAACTACATAGGTCAAACTAGTAGGTCAGGGGTAGTCAGATTGTCGGAACATAAGAATATAGCTAAGGTAAGAATGGTTGACCCTGAAAAGATAAGTAATTTAGAAAAATGCTCAGCACTACATTGCACTGCACGCATTAACACACAATCACACAATAGGGTGGGAGAGGGTTAAAATTTTAAAAAGTAATCTAGATAGGTGGAGAGAGAGGTTGATTACTGAATCCTTGTTCATCGAGTCTACACCAAACACATGCAATAGGAATAACTCATCACTCATACCTGAAATATGGAAAATACTACTGTCAATCAAATCAAGTGAAAAACAGTGTAACTATATAAATGAAGTTAGGAAGTCGTGTGAATACCTTGATATGATTATGAGCAATAAATTATGCTCGAAACGTTATAAGTAAACATTACTGTATAACAACACTGTGAGACTTTATCAAAACAAAAATTTACCCATAATGGAATTATACTCTACCACAGCGAACAAGTTTTATTCTTATATCACTTGACATTTAACTATGATTATAATCACCCAATGTCCACAAAAGTGATATACCATTGAGACCTATAATACCAATGGTGTAATCACCATGCTATAAACTGGCCAGATCGTTTGCCCAAAAGCTGGAACTCATTCGGAAAAAGCTGGCAGCTCACACTATCAAAGATTCTTTCCAGTTTTCACAAGAATTAGATCAACTGGATATTTCAGATAGACTTCTCCTGTCATACGACGTTTGTTCACTGTTTACCAGCATACCCATCGAAAAAACGCTAAAAATCATTTGCCAGCAATTCGAATTGCTTCCTCTTCCGGAAAATGAGCTACGCAAATTGCTACTCCTATGTACAAAGAATATTCAATGCCGACTCAACAGTTAGCTGTTCACCTCTGGCCCCTGTTCTTGCTGACATATTCATGGCTCATCTTGAACAGACTCGAATGAAAGAAGAAATAGAAAGAACTACCTATTACTGCAGATATGTCGACGACACGTTTGTGGTCTGCAATGACATAGAACACGAGTCTGTAATGTTTGAGAAACTCAGTGCGGCTCATCCCAACATTGTATTTACAATTGACGATGAAAGAAACAACCAGTTCCATTTCCTAGATGTCAACATGAAAATAGGAAACGATGGGACGATTCGAAAATCTGTCTACAGGAAAGAAACTTGGATTGGTCAATACTTAAATTATCACAGCTTTTGCGCAACCAGTTACAAACGAGGTCTAATAAAAACGCTTTTCAGCAGAGCCAAAGAAATATGTTCGGAAGACAAGATTGAAGAAGAATTCGCGGTCATCGAAAAGAATCTTATCGAGAATGGAAACCCCCGAAAATTCATATAAAAGTATAGAAATGAAGAAGCACACAAACTGAAACCTGACACCGTTGAAAAGAAGCGAGTTTTCATCTGCCTACCGTGCAAACGGGAAGACGTATCCACAAGAACACAAAAAAGAATCACAGATGCATTAAAGAAAGAACATTTCCAGCCGCCAAACTGATCCTATTTCACAACACTGTGTGCTCGTTAACCCAGTCAAAAGTAGATGAGTACCCTACTCACGTCAATTCCAGCTGCATTTACCAATTCACTTGAACTTGCGGAAGCAAGTTCATAGGAAGGATTGAGAGAAGAGCATCTATTAGATTTTCTGAGCAAATTCCTAAGAGTCTCCATACAAAATGAAGAAAAGTACTATCGAGTTCAATCGCCAGACAAAAATTTTAGTTTTAATTACACTTCATATTACTATTATTATTATTTTATGCATTCACTCAGACGTGTGTGTGATTCAATTCCCTCACTGGATATAACTTCTTAAAAACCATACACATATACGATTGTACAGTTTGATGATAAATTCGTCTGTTGAAAAGAGTCTCTTCGCTGAACTATCACTTTTTTATTTTCTATATATGATTTTAGTAATTAAATAAAATGTCTTCCAGTATTGTTTTCCTATATCTGACATTGATTTCTGATTGAGTCAGTGCCTTTGTGTATATTTTTTTATTTTATTATTTTTAGGCTTAGCAATTTCTATGGTTGGTGTGAATGCATTCGAGACATGTCGTAATCTTGTAGACAAAGTGATCACCTTGAACGAGTCATACATCCATCGAGCAGTTGTACGCCTCTTAGAAGTAGAAAAGTGTGTTGTCGAGTGTTCTGGAGCTACATCATTGGCTGTAATCATGGGTGATATGCTACCGCAGTTAGTTGGAAAAAAGTATGTCAACTCTTCTCGTATATATATATATTATTGTTCCTTGGGTTCCTAGTGGAACATAGGGCTTCAATTGCACGTCTTCACTTGCTTCCGTCTTCTGCTCTACTTTTCACCTGAATCCATGTTAGTCCATACTGTTTCAACTCCTCTTCGCACGATCTCCTCCATGTCACCCTCACACTGACGACCCACTCGAGGCGTGCTTCCCTTTCAGGTTCCACTCGAGCAATGGCCTAACGCGCGCGCGATATCACCCAGCAGCCTCATCAGCGAGTGTCTAATCCATTACCATCGACTTTCTCCTGAATATTTCTTGGTTGGCAATTGGTTCTTGTTTTCAATAAAGTTCCTATAGTTTCTTGTTGTTGGTGACTCTTCCCTTAGTGTAGAGCGAAGACAGTTAGTTGTTGATAAAGGTCTGCAACAGACTGTTGGAAATATTCTTTGTCACCCGCCCGCCAAGTTTCTCAACCGTATAGAAGAGCTGACTGACTTGACGTGTTTGTATTGAAAATCCGACCGAATTTTGTTGTTGATGCTGGTTGAGTGACGAAGATTTCCCGATTGGTTTCAGATTGATGAATGAATGTGTTTATCGCCTTCCCGATTCTACATTCTCGATTTGACATCCTCGTCCGTTCCGACTGCCTGTAGTTGAGACAATGCTCCCTAGATAAATGAATAACGTAACCTCTTTTAAATCCCTCTCGTTGATGGTGATATATATATATATATATATTAATCTACCTTATTCCAAAGAGAGTACTTATAATACAGAATAGAATCCTCAGAATTTATCACAACATCTTGCATCTGATTTCCTCAAAATATAAATAAAATTAAAAATTAACCAGAGGAATTTGTCCACGTTTACGATATAAAGTGAAAAATATTCACAGTACGAATTGAGAATATTAAACATAATAATAATAATAATAACAGTGAGTTTGTTTCAAACAGTATTGCCGATTCAGTTTGAAAATTTTAGCATGTTACTATAGAATATTGAATCTAATGTTCTGTTGGTACAGCAGCATGGTGAGGGGAAATACAAAATTAACAGTTATAAAACAGCTTAAATGATTGATGTTCACACTTTTGAGAAAATAAATAAATAAAAATAAAAACAAAAAATTGATAGGATTATAAATATAAGAAATACAATAACAATAAAGGTTGATGTTGTAAGGATGGAGGAAATGCTTTATTTAGTAATGCAAAGAAGGTTAGTTAGTTAGTTCATCGCTGACACTTTTTTCATCACATAAAGTTCGTGCCGTCAAATATGGTGTAGTGGAATTACTTTTATCCTTAGACGTACGTGCGTAAATTCGTCTAAAAAGACTTCTTGTTTTACCTGGGGAGATACAAGACAGGAGCTGTGGATAAAGTGGATGCTCACAGTCTGACAAAATTCCTTTATCAAATTTGTTGCATGACATCAAGTGCCTATCGTGAATGACAATGTCAATGATATGGCCTAATGGGATACCACTCGCCCTACTGACCGACTGACTGACTGACTGACAGTCTTCAGAGTTCTACGAAGTATGACATAGTCTTTTTTTAAGCAATCCAGGAGAGAATAAGCAGGGCTAAACAGTAAGGAAGAATAGGTAGGATGCATGCACGAGTTGACAAACTGTAATAGGAGGAGGGATTGAGTTCTGCCTGAGGAGTCCCTTAACTTCTTAATGTGAAATGTCAGACGAAATATTCCTTTAGAAATCGCTAAGACATGGGAAAACCAGGATAGGTAGGTCAGTGGAAATAATTAATCCAAGATACTTAACCTCAGACTTGGTTTGTATATCCTCACTATCATCAATTTTACAACGAGCATAGGAAGCAACAGCTTCAGCATTTAACTTTCTTTTACATCGGAAACTGAAATTACCAGTGTGACATTTGGAAGGATTTAGTTTAAGACCGACCATTTGACGAAAACCATTTTCTAACTCCTGTTAGAAAGCTGTTCATCTTAGTACAGTCTAATCTAGCTGGTTGGAGTAAACAGGCATTGAAATAGTTAGATCGTCAGTATACTTAAAAAAGTTCCTTTCATAATCAGAGTGAGGCAAGTCATTCAAGAAGATAGAAAACAGAAAAGGAGAAAGGACAGCGCCTTGACGAGCACCACCAGCCTCAGTTAGCAACGAAGTGGACGACTTTCTCTGACTGACATACAGTGTACTACTTTCTTCCTGAGAAATAAGAATGCAGCTATTTGACAACCCAACAGTCAGTTAGACGAACATTTTACCTGAGGAGACAGACACTAGGTTGGAGCTGCGGGTTAACTGGGTGTTGGCTTGCTAAAATATTTATTCGCCATATCACTGATATACATATGGATATGGATTTCACCTTACAGAGAGTATTTCAACAGATTAAATTTTGTTGAGCGATGAATTCCTCTCAATAAAATAAGAATAAAATAAGACAGATTTGCGTGATCTGTCAAGTACTCACTTCTCAAGTCTTTTTATCTCATTTACCAAAAGTCGCACATCTCTCTATTAAATAGTGGTGAGCAAAGAGATAAGGAGGTGAGGAAAAAATTAGAAAATGTCAAATGATAAGTCGTCATCACGAAATCTGAACATAAACTATCCTGAAAGTGAACAAAGAAGCAAGAACTATAGTGGTTTTTGTGCAGAATAAATTGGTACCATGATTGCTTATTTCGCTGCCTTCTCGTCAGCTGCTTACAGGTCACGGTAATTATTAAGTATATCTAGAGTTCATTTTAAACAAAAATCAATCAGTCAATCAATATATGCATACAGTAATATATATATATATATATATATATATATATATGCTGCATGCCAAGTAATTCACTACGGGAAACTCACGGAAGCCTTCGAAGTAAGGACGGGAGTGCGACAAGGCTGCCTACTATCACCAATGATCTTCCTGATTGCAGTAGATTGGATAATGCGACAGACAGACAACGGGCAATGAGGAAACAGGCATAAAATGGACTCAAACAAAAAAGGACTTGGAGGATCTGGACTTCGCCGATGTGGTGCATATGTCTGATTTCCCACAAACCGGAAGATATGCAAGTGAAAAGCAACAAATTGGCAGAAGAAGCATCAAAGATAGGACTTCAAGTGAACATAGACAAAACAGATGTAGGTGATGACGATTCCTGGCCAACATCAACAGGAACAACAACAACAGAGAACAATCAGCCAGCATAAATGGGAGGAACCTCAAAGAAACAACCTCCTTCACCTACCTACCTACCTACCTGGGAAGCATCGTTTCAAATACAGGCGGAACTGACGAGGATATCAAGCCCAGAATCGGAAAAGCAAGACAGGCTTTCATTACTCTCAAATCTGTATGGAAGTCAACAGCACTCAGCATCAAAAACAAGATCTGGATTTTCAACTCCAATGTCAACTCAGTGCTTCTATACGGATCAGAGACTTGGCGAGTCATAAAGAGCATCTCCAACAAACTTCAGACCTTTATTAACAGCTGTCTTCGCTCAATACTCAAGATTAGATGGCCAGAAAAGATCAACAACAGGAATCTGTGGGAGCGAACGAATCAGGAACCGATTGTGCGAGAAATAAGCAGGAACAAATGGAGGTGGATTGGTCATACTCTGAAGAAACCATGAAATGACATCACTAGACAAGCAGGCCCTTGAGTTTAACCCAAAAGAGGAGCAGCGAGGTGGTCTTCCAAGGTTGACTAGGAGAAAGTCATGTGAAAAAAGGGGATGAGAGAATGTGAGTAGACTTGGAGCAAGGTAACAACTCAAGCTATGAACGGAATATATTTTAGGCAGTACACGTATGATGCAGTGGTCAGAATTCAGTAGAGGAGCACGTTTGCGAGTTTCATATATACCAGCTTCTTAGATAGATTGACATTTTCTGTGAAATGTGAGAATTAGAGATAGTTCCGTTTACCTGGTCTTTGTCAATGATTTACTCAGTATATCAGTATTGTGATGACTCTTCCTTTGATAGTCGTGTGTTAATTAGTTTGGCTAATATTATATCTAAGGTTCTAGGTTGAATAATCATGCGTCAAAAAATACGGACGATAGCGTGTTGATCATATATTCAGCCTCTGATGGAGTTTGGAACACAGAGGTATGTATATGTAACAACTTCCTCCCCGGGCATGAGGCGAGCCACCCCACTCTGTAGACAAAGAAAAAGCATGTGTGGGCACATGGAACGTCTACACTACGTATGAGACTAACAAAGCTGTCTAGATTTCGAATGAGGTGAAGAGATATTCAAGTGCTAGGAATATGTGCTAGGAATATGTGAAAGCAGATGGAATGAGAATGGACTCACCAAATTGTTTACGGGAGAGTCAGCGATTTACTATAGTCACCCAGAAGATAACCACGAGCACACTGAGGGTGTGGCTATCGTGATGTCACCAACGGAAACGAAGGCCCTAATGCAAAGGGAGGCGATCTCGCCCAGCGGTCAGCGAGGAAACAGGCCTAAAATGGACCCACACAAAATACTTGGAGGATCTGGACTTCGCTGATGATATATGTCTGGTTCCCACAGACTGGAAGATATGCAAGTGAAAAGTACCGAGTTGGCAGAAGAATCATCAAGCATAGGACTTCAGGTTAACATAGGTAGAACATAGGTGATGAAGATTCCTGGCCAACAACAACAACAACAGTCAGCCAGCATAAATCGTAGGAACCTGAAAGAAACAACCTCCTTTACCTACCTGGGAGGCATCGATCGTTTCAACTACAGGCGGAACTGACGAGGATATCAAAGCCAGAATTGGAAAAGCAAGACAAGCTTTTATTACTCTCAAGTCTGTGTGGAGGTCAACAGCACTCAGCATCAAAAATAACATCCGGATTTTCGACTCCAATGCGAAGTCAGTCAGTGCTACTATACGGATGGATCAGAGACTTGCACTGCGCGTCATAAAGAGCATCTCAAACAAACTTCAGACCTTCATTAACAGCTGACTTCGCTCAATACTCAAGATCA